TTAGAACGATTTAAGTAGTTCCAGTGATGTCCTGCTGAATACAAGGTTATGTACAATAATAGATTGTATTACTTAATCAGTATTTTTTTTTATACTATTTTTGGCACAAAGCACGTAAATAATCTCCTGGTGTATCATATCAACCCCATTTTTCATGGTGTATCTCATTAGCCCCAATTGACCCTACTTAAAATTTAATTTATATTTTTTATTATGAATATGAAATATAATTGAAAATATGTATGAAATTAGACTAGGTAGCAATTATTTTGATGAAAGTTTGTAATAGATTCATGGTTGGACGTTATTTATTTCAGCTCTTTCTCCTCTGTCACTGGCATTTCTCCAAGTGTGTTAATCTTGAGATTAAAGTTGATTGATATCTCACTTTAGCAAATTCCCTATTGATTCATCTTTGTTTATTTTTCGAATTATGGAAGGTTATGTTTTCAAAAAACCAGTGAGAAATATTGAGTCCTCCTTAAAAAATATCTTTCGAAGAATATTTTAAAATTTTTGAGAAATATTTACAATTTGAAACTGATTTCTTTCATTTTGGATTTGCTATTTTTCACTGTTACTTGAAATCCTCAAATATCGGTAATTTTGACAAATCAAAACTAAAATAATAATTATTGTCCGTCAATTTGAAACTGTCATTTGGAATTATCAAAGTTTGTCCAAAGACATATAGTTTGAAATTTCAGTGGAATCAGTCCACGGATAGTGATTTGGTACCATTATGAATTTCCAAATTTCCATACTTATCAATTTCCATTATGACAGGTTTTCAGATTATCGTATTTGTCGGCCAATTTTTATATCATATCACGAAATTTTATGTATTGTTATCAGACTGATGTTTAGTCTACAAAGTTTCACACATTGAACCTACGTCTCAAAATGGGTAATAATTTGTCTACAATATTTGTCAGACTATTACAATATTACAAAGGTTCAAGTGAAGATAATAATATATAAGTGCATTGAAACTAAAGTGCTTCTTAGTTGTCACGAAAAGTCAGATTACCAAAGTTGGATAATTTTTTAATGAATTACAAAAATAATTTTTGTAATTCATTAATCAACAGTTATCGATAATTGAGCATTTAAAAGTCGCCAAGGTTTTTTATTCATTAAGTAATTTGTGAATCATATAGATGCTTATTTGTGAGTTGGATGGTTGGAAAGTTGAAGTAAGTGTACGTGAACTGTTCAAAGAATAAGGCGCAAGTTCAAATTTCGCGGGCTACGTGCATTTATTTTACTTTTTTATGTTGGTAAACTCGTCGCGAATATATGTTCACAGTTTCAGCTGTTTAGCATATTCAGTTTGTTGGTGAGAGGCGTACAAGTCAGAGGTGTTTTGCGAAAAAAATGGATCAAATAATTTGCATCAAATTTTGTGTTAAAAAAGTGCTCAAAAACACTCGAAATGTTGACAGTGTTATTCGGTGTTGTACTCTGAGTACCCAGCACATCAACAGCCGATGAAAATGTTGTAGTTTGGTTCACATGTACTTTTTTTGTGAAATTTTACATACGGGTCCAAAAATTACGACCAAGGTGTCATTGGATTCGTATTTTTACCTAGAAAGTTTAAGGAAAGGTCCGAAAAGGTGCTGAAAAAAAATACAAAAGTTGTAAACAATTAAGTGAAAAAAAAATTGGGCTTTAGTTTTTTTGAATATCTCGAAAAATTTTCAAAATTTTGGAAGATCTGAAAAGATCAATAAATTTGCGTAAAAAAAGTCCCGACTCCCGAAACTGTTTCTCAATTATTTATACTTTGTACATAGCCCTGAAAATAGATCAAAAAACGGATAGTCTGGCTTCCGCGCGCATTCCTTCACTCTGACATAAAAACAAAAAAAAATATTTGAACATATTAAATGTTAATTGTTCATTTGAAAAAAATTGTACAAAAGCCATAACTTGAAGATAATACTCCTTATTCCCCGTACGACCATGTGGCAAGAGCTCCTGATGCACTACGCCACTGTTAGGTTAGGTTAGGTCCAAAGTGAGTGGGTCTATTCGACCCTCCACCACAGCAACCCGCAGAGGTTATTGTGGCTCACACCTATTCACACTCGGCCAAATAAACCCAGCTTCTTAACGAAGCCGATTGGTTTGTATAGTGAGTGCACTTTTTTCGATAGCAGAAAATCGACGAACACGCAAAACACCACCACAAAATCGAAAAATAGCCATTGAAAATTGATGGCAAGTGATGCAAAGTTCATTTGTTTTGAGTACCACCAAAATACAACCTCAGCATGTCGTTTGTAAGCTGAAATAATAATTATAATAATGTATATTTCATCAGTTCGGACTTCCATTGTCTAATGTCTAATATAATATAAATTGATTTGAAAACCCTGAAAAAAAATTAAAAAGATTAACCGAAAATAACAATTTTTGTTATTGTTAATAAT